CCCCTTTGCCCCTCTTCTCTGTTCATGCTCTCTCTCTCTCAACAAAACAAAACAAAAGATTAGAAGGGAGAGATCTCAGGCCTTCCCCTGATGCCACAGCGATGATGGAAATATGGCACAGGCACTCACCCTGGTGCCCACGTCGATCGCTCGTGCCCTCCGAGCTAGACAGGGCGCTGCCCTGCTTCCCTGGCTTCATTCACCCAAAAACATTTCCTGGAGGCCTTTGATGCTGGCAGTCATCCGTAGAGATGCAATGTTGTCTTCCTTCATGGCGTTTGTCACCGCTTGGGAATGAGGAAGAAGGAAAAAGCCAACAGAAGAATAGATTGGTATCATGGCATAGTGGAAAACACACAGACTTTTTAGAGCCAGAATTCCCAGGTTTCTTTCCAGGCTCACCATGTATTTAAAGATGCAGAGGATTATTACCGGAGACACTGACGAGAACGGGCAGAACTGAACTGTCGGTTTAGCTAATATTTGTGGACATTTCCCCAGAAGCATGCGAGTTGAGATCAGAGGAGCACTACCCCACGTGGCCAGGTGCTCCGTTGTGCCCCATACTGACAGCAGGGACCTGGGCCCAGGACCCGTCTTCATCCAGAGCTGCTGAGAAGGACGGGGGCAGAGAAGAGCCCCCACCATGGAGGGCTCAGGAGGGGGAAGCACTGTGAAAAGTGGCCGAAAACAGGATGATTTGCTATGATGGCTTGAGTTGTGTGTCCCCCTCCCCGAAATAGGTTGCCATCCTAACCCATGAGAGTGACCTTATTTGGCAACAGGGGTCGTCACAGATGTAATTCATTAAGGGGAGGTCACACTGGAGTAGGACTGGTGACTTTACCAGGAGGGAAGTCAGGACACGCACACAGGTCACGTGAAGACATGTGGACGGCCGTGGGAGGGTGCAGGCAGGGGATGCGCTGACACCACGAACTGAGGCTGCCAGAAGCCGGAAGCTGGAAGAGGCAGAGCTTGGGAGGGAGGACAGTCCTGCCCACCGCTCCACCTCAGACTTCTGGCCTCCGGACCTGGGAGAGAATACATTCCTGTTGCTTGAAGCCCCCCAGGGTGTGGTCCTTTGTTACAGAAGCCCCAGGAAATGGGACACCAGCCTTTCAGCCATTTAAAATCAATTGGGCCAGAACTGAAGGCAACACGTATGAGTTCTGAAGCCCTCCTTCCTCCTCTGCCGATGATGCCACACCAGGATGCCTTCAGGTCTCGTGCTGATGCAGAATGCGTCTTTCGTAGAAAGCATTTCATAGAAAAATAACAGTGACCACAACAGTCAGTGGATCTTGGCCCAGCCTGATGGTCCTGTGTTGCTGGGGACCTCTCCTCCCCTCCTCCCCTCCTCCCTCCTTGTTCCTCCTCTTCCCCCCTCCCCTCCTCCTTCCTCCTCCTCCCTTCCTCCTCCTCTCCCTCCTTCTCTTCCTCCTCCCTCCTCCCCCCTCCTCCTCCCATCCTCTCCCCACTACTCTCCCTTTCCACTCCTCCCTCCTCCTCCCACCTCCTCCTCCCACTCCTCCTCCTCCCCTTCCTCCTCCTCCCCCTTCTCCCCCTCCTCCCCTCCCTCCTTCTCCCCTGGCAGGGGCCCGAGACCACCTTCTCATGAGCAGCATCACCTCTGGAGGAAGATGCTATTCTTGAATGTTTGTTGCATTAGACAGTAAGAAGCAAATATTGGCTAGTTTCTAATAGTAGAAGCACATGAGATAATACTGATATTTTAAGAAATTGGATCAGAGGGAGATTGAACAAAGAGCATGCCAAGTCAGTTGTAAAGATGTTTTCTCAAATGAAAACAGGAAAATCTCTCTTCAACATTTGAATAGGAAACATATAGAAACAGAAATAAATCATTTCATTTTCCAAATGAAAGTCTAGGGTACTAAAAACCCAAATGTATTCTTGGCGGAAAGCTTCATGAGTTGAAAGGGCTCTTTTTCATTCATTCGCTACTTATGTTGATGTCCGTGCAAACCCGATTTTAATTGCTGAAAAACTAATGAATTCAGCTTAGTGGCAGTACGTTCAGAAATGTTGGATTTATAAGCTGAGGACAAAATAAAAGCTATCCTTTTTTTTCCTTTAATAATCCAATGAACCCAGCTAATTAAACTAAAAGAAAACAATCTATGGGGCCCTTCTGAGCACTGTATTTGACTTATTATAATGTTCTCAAAGCAGTATTTTACTAAACGAATTTATTTCTATAATTAGATGTGAGGGATTTAAATTCACAGATAACTTACCGATAATTAAGCTCTAGGTCGGAAACATCGGGTCAGCTGTGCCGAGTTGCTAGCAAACTGTTTTGAGGGCAAAATGTCAAGGAATTAGAAAGACGGCTGTTTTCATACCGTTCTCTTCCCCGCCAGCCCCTAGCAGCCGTGCTCATTAGTGGAGCGACGTTCTTGGTGCCCAAGCTTCTGCCGCGTCCCGCCAAGTGTGCTAGCCTGTGTGCAGATGTTTGCTTGTTCACACCAAAGTCCTGCAAGTTGGAGGCCAGCCGTCGAGGGCAGCCTTGGAGAAGGGACTCTGTTGAAATAAAATAAAGAAATATGCAGTGTTTCCCCAGTAAGTTTTTTTTTTTTTTATGTTTATTTTTGAGAGAGAGAGAGACTGCAAACAGAGGAGGGACAGAGAGAGAGGGAGGCACAGAATCCAAAGCAGGCTCCAGGCTCCGAGCTGTCAGCACAGAGCCCAACTCAGGGTGACAACCCACGAGCTATGAGATCATGACCTGAGTCGAAGTTGGACTTTGAGCCGCCCAGGTGCCCTCATCCCATTAAATTTAATGTCACTTAGAAAAATGAAGTCAGCACGTCTTCAAGACACTATGACAGATGGCATAATGACCTAAACATATAAGGACACACCAGAATAGGTTTATGAAAGACTTCCTCTCTCACAGCTCCCATCACCAGACTTTAACAGAAGACGTGACTTGTGAGCACTTGGAGGACGCTTCCTGTCTTCTCAGTGGCCTGTGTCCACCAGGGGAAGACTTCTTCGAGAGGAGCTTGGGGACACTTTGGCTGTTTGTGAGCCGGAAAAACAGTCAATGCTTTAAAGAATAACTTAGTAGACGCCAAATGTGATGCAGTGGGCATCCATTCGTCAGGGGCATCTCACTTTCCACCCTAGTTCGGGCTCAACGAGAATAAAATCAAGACAAAAAATTCATGTCAGTGTCACCTAAGCGACACCTTCGATTCTAGGGACAGAACAAGGGAGAAAAAGAGTAGAAATGGTGCTGCCCTCCCTTTAAAAAGACTGATACATACGCACGTCTATGTATCTTAAGATACAGTCTCTCGAGGTGGATTTAAGATCCCAGGGATGTACGCGAATGAGAGAAGCTGAATCATTTTAACAAAGTAAATTTTATTTCTATATGATGGTTTCTGTGAGATGAATTTAACACATTTGACAAACCCGTCCATCCTCATCGGGGGAGAAAAGTCTGACGCAGTCCGACGTCATACGGAGCTCAGCCGCTCATTCGACAATCCCGTGGGCATGCGTGGGCCTTGCTGCCCTGGTTTCGCAGATTTTGAACTGCCCTTTGCTCCCGTGCACAGTGCGTGGCGCTGCTGAAGGTCCCAGGCCCTAGCAGGCCTGGTCCGTTCGGCTTCTGAATAACGTAGATTTCTCGCAGATCTAGAGGCCAGAGGTCTGGGGTCAGGGGCCAGGATGGTGGAGTTCTGGTGAAGGCCACTCTGGGTTGCGGAGGGTACCGTCTCTCTGTGCCCTCGCGTGATGGGGGTGGGGGGTGGGGGGGACCGGAGGACAGGATCCCATTCCTGAAGGCTCCACCTCCCAAAGGCCCCACCCCCTCATACTGCAACAACAGGCACTGGGTGTTTAACATATGAATTTGAGGGGGGGAAGGGGGGGGGACATGTGCAAAGGGTGGCACAGGCCCCCAAGAACCTCTGTACCCAGAGAGCATGCGGCACCTTTTCCCGTACTTGGCGTTGCAGTCGTGAGCGCCCCACGCTGAGAGGCAGGCGCCCTCGTCTCCAGGCAGGTCACTGATGTGGAAGAGAAGGGCTGTGACCGTGGCCTCGCGACAGAAGTGACGCTTGCTCCAGAGTCCACCCACCAGCTTCCCACTCGGTGGCTTCCCGGCCGTTGAAAGCGCACCCAGCAGGCAGACACGCTGGGGCGCCCTGTTTGCAGACTGAGCATGAAACTTACCTGAAACCGGCAGATTTTTGCCGATTCCCTGGCCGCTGGCTGTTGCCACCTGTTTCTGCCCTGTAAACAAACAGTCGCTTTCCACCATGAGTTTATCTGTTGTGCTTATGGAAACTCCTTCTCTTCTGCCCATTTCTCCATCTCCTCAAGTTACTTGAGGTTTTCACTCCATCCACTTAGCCGCCACCCTCCCCAGCCAGCCAGTACCGCGGAACCAACGGGCATCAGCCTGGCTGGTGTCATTCATACCAAAACTGAAAATACCTGTTTGTTCCGAGTGCAGGGTCCCGTTGCGTTCTCCCAGCTTTGTCTGAGAGCCCCCGGGGCACGTGGCTGGGCGCACATCTCCCCCACCCTGGTCTGGAGGCACTGTCCTCTCCTGGGGAGACTTCCTGCGGGAATCTGAGTCACCACAAGTGCCGGTCCTCTGCCCCAGTCTGCATGCTCCCGGGGTCTGCAGACCTTGCCCCCCCCCGCCCCCCCCCGCTGCATTGATCGGCACCCTCACACGCCAGTAACCTTCGTGGCCAGCATGAATCCTGCTTTTGTGACCCAGGCAGAATCAAACTGTGCACCTGAAATGCCGAACTTTTTGTTACTACTTTTAAAAATCTCTGTACTCCTGCATAACGAAAAGTGACAAAATCATTTCCTTCTCTTAGTGTGTTTTTTTTTGTGTGTCTGATTTTAGGTGGTACCTTGAGAAATTTGAAGATTATCCAAAGTTCAGGAAAATTATAATCCCGTTTTTGTTGTAAATTTGTTGTCAGTGGATGGTCTCCGACTTGCCGCGTTTCAGTGATGTTTCTCTAGGGATCGTGTAAATGAATTGCTTTCTGTCATTTTCCTGTTCCTTCATCCGTTTCAAGATTTGCTCTAGGAATGTGTTCCTGGTAAGTGCGTCAGCTGCCTAACACCAAGCTAATGAGACCGAAATGCAGGCTGGAGTAGCGGGTTGCACGCCGGCTCGAGAATCTGCAGCTCTGGGTCATTCCCGCTGACCACTTCTCGGACTTTGGAGTCTCCTCTTTTGGCTGCATACAGCTAAGCGAGCACAAGACCAGGATTACGAGCCATTTCTGATGGCCTCCGTGGACTGAAACATGTCACTGCCCCTGTACCACCCATTCCAACCATCAGTTCAAGGCCGGACGTGATGTCGCCCCCTCCCCTGATAAAGGCAGAACTGTCTCCATGGTCCCGCTCACCCCGCTGGGTCAGCGAGGCCAGGGGGCACCCAGAGTGGTCCCAGCCCCGGGGAAATGTCCAGGCTCTCACTGGGGTGCTGCGCAGCAGAGAGCTTGGGGGCAGAGAGAGGAGACACGGGGCCAGCTGAGGCCTGGACAAGAGGCCTCTGGCACCTGCAGCATCCTGGCTCCCCGGGTGACTAGACTACAGGGCAGGGGGCTGTGTGCACTCATGTAAAGGGTAAGGCGCTCTGTCCCCCACGGAGAGGACTTCTTGGAGGCCCGGGTGGGAGCAGGGAGCCCCTTGTGCCGATCACCACAGGCACCAGCAGTCTCTGGTTTAAGATGATTTTTCTCCCTTCCAGGTAGAACTAGCAAGTGTTAAAGCACTTTTTTCTCAGTACCCTCAGTATCCCAAAACAGTATCTTGAAACAGAATGTCTTACTCTAGATGCCCTTGAGAGGTCCGCGGAGGTAAATCATAGGAATAAAATGGACCACATACTGCCTGATATGTAAAAGATATCTCAGAAGGCTGAGAATCTGTAAAAGAAATCTAACAGAAGGCTACTAAATCTCTGGGCCGCTCTGTGAAGCTCTGATGGGACATGTGGCGGAGGTCCCCTCCTGGCTGTGGCAGCAGTGCCTCAGTGGCCACCGCGTCTGTGGAGCCAGAATCTGCAGGAGCAGGGGAGGAAGGAGGAGACTGTTCACTCTGATCCGCTGACCTGCTAGGTGGGTGGCTGGGGGCACCAGAGCATGTCCAGAGCATGCGCGGCCCCAGAGCCCCCCATGGGCTCCCCGACCCCTCTCCTGGCTGACCTTCCCAGCCACGGTCTCGCCCCTCTCGAGGTTTTATGTAGGAGCCATGTTCTCGGTGTTAGTGATTTGTGGAGTCTTCGTTTGATTTCAGAATTACGCAGCCAACGTCTCCGATGGAACTATGCTTCATTGTAACTGGGGACAAAACGGTTTTGAAGAGAAATTTTGGTATTCAATGCACTTCGTTCCTTTTTCTGAGCCTTTTCCAATTACTTGAGAACACGAAGCAATAAATATTTTGGATCTCCTCGGGAAAACTCAAAAGTCCAAGCAAGTCACGATGGATTTGGGCTGCTGTGCTCTGGAAGGTGCACGCGGCCGGGAGAAGGATGCTAGTCTGAGAGCCGGAGAAGCTCGCTGTGATGTTTTTCTCCTTTTGTGAACGGCCCGAGCGAAGGAATGCTTGGGTTGACTCAGGCTTTGATGTGTGGTTCATGCTTTCATCCGCCCGCACTGGGTGGACGATTGATAGGAACAAATCTTCCATCTTGTCTCTCCGCCCTCCCTCCATTTCCTAAAAACTGCCACTTAGCAAATTGTCATCAATTACTGTGTTAATCATAACAAGGAGATTAATAAAATTACTTCAAGCCCAGTCATTTTGTGTTCAGGGTTACTCCAGTGTCTCGGCACGTTTTCACTCCACAAACTCACGCCGTATCGTTGTGCTGAGCCCGGACACCTGCTTCTCCTCGATGTCCCCATTCCATCGTGTCAGACACGATGACGTGTCTCCGGTCCTCGGCGGAGCTGAGGGACACTCTGTAAATGCCGTGCCTGCCTGTTCAGGTAGTTCTTCGGTATCTGACGGTTTGCTCATTGTGGATGACAGTGCGTCCCCAAGCACGTTTTGTAACGAGGGTAAATGAGCACCATCGGTGTTCACGTGTTTGTCCTGCCAGCCCAGCCTCTGGGGGCATTTTGTGCATCCCTGCCATTCTCTCCGGTTGAGCTCCGGTTCTGGAGCGTCACCGTCCCACCATCCGCAAACCTGTCACGTTCTTGTTTAGCGGTACTTGAGGCTGTTGTTTCTGCTGTCGCTTGCTTCCTATAGTAACAAGAAATTCGAGAACAATGCTGATTGTCAGGATTCTTGTGCGATTTTAACAGCAGTGCCATTCTGTGAGATTACGGTTTAGAACGTTTCTTTTATTTTCTTACTTGGTCATTGGTCTGTTTTCTACTGGAGCCAATGGAATTGTTTCTTTGCTTTAAAAAAAAATCTGCAATATTTCTCTTGAGATTTTCAAGGGGACTGCATACACATCAGAAATGAGAAAGAGGGCTTTCCGTCAGGTGCAGAGGGGGAAGGCGAACTGAGAACACACCCACATGGGACGCTGATCTTGTGGGTTTTCTTCATTAAATGTTCTCTGCATGTCCTTTATGATGGTGATTTCCTCTGTGTCTCCTGACTTCCTATTTGCTTATCTTCACTGTTCTAATTTAGGGGAAATCTTTTCATCGTGCTCGTAACTGCTCGGGAGGACCACCTCAGTCATCTGTTTGCCTAGCAGGTGTATTTGTAGCTTTTAAGGCTGTGTGTTTCTGCTCTGTGACACTTCCTAAGGTTTTACAGGGTTTTTTTTTTTTAACACATTAAATTACTTTTGAGAGAGAGAGAGAGAGAGACACAGAATCTGAAACAGGCTCCAAGTTCCGAGCTGTCAGCACAGAGCCCGAGACGGGGCTTGAACTCACAAACGTGAGATCATGACTTGAGCCAAAGTCGTTTGCTTAACCCACTGAGCCCTCCAGGCGCCCCTGCACTTCCTAGAGTTTAATGACCTTCCTATAATTATGACCCTAAATAGTCTCCAGCTGTACTTGTTAGGTTTGTCTCAATCTCACAATTTCTAGGAAATTCATTTTGGTTTGAAAGGGTGCTTTTTTTCTTCTCAACCGTTTGAGAGATTTCATTGAAAGGTTTTTCTTCTTTTTCACACATGTGGATACAGTAGAGATCATTTTCTGTGAAATCTCTCCCGCGCAGATTTTGAGTTTTCCTTCTGTGGCCTCAAGCTCTTCATAACAAGGCTGTTCTCGAAAGCTGATGCTGTTTGTTCTGTCGTGTGTTAATTCAGAGATATTGACCCCATTGTTAAACTTGTCTGCAACCTTATTTCTCGTCCAGGTCAGATTTCCCTTGTGTGTCTAATAGTTTTTGCTTTGTGTTTTGCTGCTGGCATTCTGCAAAACTTTTCATCCACCCTGTTATCGATGTGAGATAATCTTCCCGCTGAGTGCTGCTCTCCTGGGATCCGGCTTTGCTCCGAATACTGCCATGCTATGGCTTTCGTTGGCACATTCACCCGGCGTTTCCCGGCCCTTCCAAGCGCTCAGATTTGTTTCGTTTTCTTTAACAACACAAGAAACAGACTTGGCTGTGGAATAAGCTGGCTCAGATTCTCTCATTAACTGCGATACTGAAATGTCCTTTTATCGTGTTTTCTATTTTTAGTATTTGTAACTTCCTTTTTTAAAAAATTTTCTATAGTGACTTAGGGAAATATTTCCTTTAAAGAGGCACCCGTGTCTGACTCTTGATTTCGGCTCAGGTCACCATCTCACGGTTAACAAGTTCCAGTCTCGCATCGGGCTCCACGCTGACAGTTCTGAGCCTGCTTGGGATTCTGTCTCTCTCCCTCACTCTCTGCCCCTCCCCCTGCTTGTGTGTGCACGTGCATTCTCTCTCTCTCTCTCTCTCTCTCTCTCTCTCTCTGTCTCTCAAGTACACTTTAAAAAAGGCAACATTAGGAATGGTTTTTATATTTTCAGGAGTACATTTAAACTCTCTCAATTCAAAATGATGAACTGAACACGTGCCTTTCCTCCCCCTCCTGGTCCTGAGCCGTTACAATCACTGTGAAGGAATCTAAGGGCCCACGGCTGGGACTGATAAAGCAGGGCAGGGGGCCGTGGCGCTGGAGAGCCCACGGTGTGCCCTGCTGAGACGGCAGGTCCTCTTGCCACGGCTGACAGAGGGGGAGGTGAGATGTGCCCCTGGAAGTGAGTCCGTGCACCTGTGCACCTGGGCTCTGGACTCAGAGCTGACAACAGTGCCCTCTCCATTCTTGCTCCCCACAAACAGCACATAAGCCCCAGGAGCTCTGCACCCATTTCTGGGGAAAATGCAGTGGGAGCAGGGTCAGGGAAGGAGCTAAGTAAAAACTAGCTATCTGGGTACAGCCAGAGTAAGCAGATGTTGGCATCCCAGAAAAAAATAAATCCACATTTTGGTTCTTAGGGACCCACCAGTGTAGTAGCCAGCCACCTTCTGCCTCGTGTTGCAGGAGAGCCCCAGGAGGTGTGGTCCCCGCAATCACAGGCTCCCACTCAGCTCTTCTGGAGCTTTTTCAGAAATGTGCACTGATGGTCAGGGATCACCAGATACTTAGAAAAGGTTACATCGTGGAAGAAAAGCAAATGCCTCTGAAGAAAACATCATTCCAGAAGCAAAAGGGAAATGTTTTAGAAACAAATTGTAACATCAGGGGATACTGGGCCTCGGCAGGTGAGTGGCCAGAGGGACGAGGTGCCCTGGAATGTGACCCAGCAATGTTCAGGAATGGACTGCCGGTGTGACTGACAAATCGCGTGTCCGATAAGAGTTCTGCATCCAAATACACAAAGAACTCTCAAATTTCAACAATAAAAACTTCAGAACAATCTTTACCACAGGCAAAAGATTTGAACAGACTCTTCATCAAAGAATACATACAGGCGGCAGGCCAGTAAGTAGGTGCAAAGACGCTTACCACCTCTAGTCGTTAGGGAAACGCCAATCACACCACACTCCCCGTCCCTTAGAATAACTGAAATCGAAGAAAACGACCAACGAAGGCTTCGTGAGGAAGCAGAGACTCTGAAACTCACACACACTCGCTGGTGGGAATGTGAGATGGCGAAAACACTCTGGCAGTTTCTTTAAAAGTTAGACATACACTTGCTATATGACCCAAATATTTCACTCCTAGGTAATTGCCCAAGAGAAATGAAAGCGTAGAATGTATACAGAGACATTTACGGGAATGATCATAGCAGCTTTATTTGCAACAGCCCCAAACCGGAAACAACCCAATTGTCCGTAGGCAGGTGAATGACTAACTGTATTGTGGTATATCCATACGATGGAATACTACTGTGCAGGAAGAGAGGAAGAAACTATGAACAGTAGCAAGAAAATAATGTCTCAGCGTCACCATGCTGACAGAAAGGGGCGAGACAAAAAAGAACGCATGCTGTATTAGGTATGGGAAGCGTTTGCCTGCGGATGGGGGCTCTCGGGTGGGGGCTTTACAAAAGGACCAGAGGACACATTCGGGGTTGATGCTCCTTATCTTGCTTGTGCGATGGTTTCACATCTGTATGCATCATGTTATATGCTTTATAAATACATGCGGTTCATTGAATGTCCATTACACCTCAATGAAGCTGTTTTTAAAAATATAAGTTTATTATACCCGCATTAACAACAGGACGCCATGAAAGCAAAATTATCCGAGGACAGTGACTCTCGGAAATGAGAGAACAAAAATGTGGTAGAAGAGATAGAAGGTGAAATCAAGTCTATCCTAGAAAATAATCACAAAAGGCCAAGAAGCAAGAAACACGAGATGGTGTGGGAGCCCAACATGAGACCGGTAGGTGTCATAGAACAGCACCCTTCCCAGCATTTCTTTGGCCTGGGTAATTTCGGCCACTTCTCTCCACAAGAGCTCATCAGAGGTTTGCTTCGAGGTGACCCTCAAGACAGGGCGGGCTCACCAGAACCGAAGACCTTTCTGGTGAAGGAAGGAAGCAAGAGGGAGAACAGTTCACTGGAGAATAATACAGGGTTTGCCGTCGTGAGGAAACCCAAAGCAACACTACCAATACCACATGCAGAGAGCGAGTGTCGTAAAAGTATGAAAATATGGATTGGAGACTCATTAAGCCCATGACTGTGGTTGTCCTTGAAGATGAGGGGACTGAAGAGGGAATCTAGGTGATTGTCACATTCTGTGATGGGCATTTCTTCTTGTTTGAGAAATCTGAAGCAAATAGATCAGATCTGGTTTTTTGGATGTTACTATTTATACTGGGTGGTTATGTTATACTTTGTAGTTTTATGTATTGTTTATTTCTTAACCAAAATAAAAAGAATATAGAGAAGGCCGTGGAGCCTAGACTGTGAGGAAAGTATGTAAATGGGAAGGGAGAAAATGTGTCTCAGGGTGGGGCCCTGGAGAGCCCCACGCAGGCACCTGTGGCTGCCACTGTGTCCTTAGGACCGAGAGCCTTACCATGTTCTTTCCTGTCATCAGTTATTATTCTGGGGCTGGGGGTCACATAGGGAGTTCAGTTCAATGACAGATCCTGCAGACTGGGTGGGGCAGTTTAACAGGATCAACACTATATCCCCCGAGCCCTGGTACCCAGGGGAATAGCACAGGGGCAGGTCACCCGATACATGGCCCGCTGTGGTCAGGCTCGCATCAGATGACAGAGGTCAAAGGCAGAACGCAGTTTCGTCCTCAGGAGACCTGCGGTCTAGCGTGGAGACAGACGTACCATGAGAATA